TTTTTTGAATTAGACTTGGGGAGTTTCTGGAACAGTCCATACACTTACTTTAATTTAAGTTACAATTTTATTTTAATTTTTATTTATAAAAAGAGAATAACTATACTAAATTTTAAGCTCATTTATAGAAAAACTAAAGATATTTAATTATGAGTAAGGATATATCAAATTAAAAGTTACAGGAGTTGAAGATCCGACCACCTCCCCGCTATCGCCTAACCGCCACCGTCGCTCTCTTTGTCTGCCTACCAGTGTGGATTTCAACAAATCATATATTAGTTTGAATTTATTGACTCAATCTTTCCAACGACGTGTTTAATTTTATCATACGAGTACCTCAAACTTTGTTAAGTCGTTGTTAAAGTTCCGAATTGTTTAAGAATTGTGCATTAAATTTTACCGGAATACTCGAGATCTGACCGTTGGATTTAATGAAATATATATGTATACGATTATCTCTTCATAAGGAATCCAACGGTATTTTACGATCGTCGATCGAGTCCTCCAATAGTCGCTCGCTCATGAAGTGTTGAAGTGTTTAGGTTTCAGACAATGCGCGGTTATGAGACAAATATTTTAACTGGTGATTTCGGGCGACTCAGTTGTCCAAATTTCATGGGTACACCTCATTTTGTTCCTATTTTCATCGGCAAAAATATACTCATTAATCAATTTGATGTTTTGAGTTCATATGAACCTTCGATTTGATGCTTCAGTTCTTGCGCATTTTTTTCTACTGTTTTTTCCTGCTATTTTCCAGTGGTTGCATGTCAATGGGCAAATGTTCAAAGAAAAAGTTGACGGTGTGGACAAAAAATTATTAACAGACGAAATGTTGGCTACCACATTTAAGTGAAAGTTTCGACGCTTGAAGGTAGTTTACTTGTTTACCTCTCCATAGAGTTACGAGTGTGAGAGAAGTAGTAAGCAGAGAATGTAAGAGCATCTCCAATAAAAATTGTGTTGTATGACATCGAGAAAGGAAATTAAACAATTATGTCTCTAATGGTTAGTTTTAATTGCGGCATAATTTGTGATATGTAAAATTGTAATTGGTTGGAGAATAAAGATAAATTATAATAATATAATATATATTAGAAGTTGTTTAGAAGGACTTCTACATCTAGGGTTCACTCGATGCCACCCGCGAGGGTGGCACCCATTTGGTGTGCCATTAGCTTAAATTGCTTTTATTATTATTGTTATTGTTATTATTATATGTTGTTTTATACAATTGTTACTTGTTTTTGTATTTGCATTATCCTTTTTAATTTTCTTTCACTTATCATCATCATATCAAAATAAAAATCTAAATTTGTAATTTCATGTAAATAAATATATCTTGTTATATCCATTTTTATGTTTTGTATTTCCCAGTCTATATCAAAATATATTTTTCTTGTACTCATTTTATTGTTAATTGTTATCTAGCTATCTTTTAATTTTATGTTTATATTTAATTTTATGTCTAGTTCTGATACCATTTTATATTATCGTTTTAGGTGGTCCTATTTTATGTAATTTTTTAGATTTGATGCTTATATCTTTGTATATCATAATCTAGCTGTTTTAATTTTTGTTCATCCTTTTCTATATATTTATATTGAATTAATTTTTCTATTAAATAATCAATTTCTTTGATTTCTTTTCTTTTTAGTTCAGCTAGTTCAAGATTTATATCTTTCCTTTCCATTTTATATTTTATTATTTAATTTTATTACTAATGAGCTTAATTCATTTACCTGTTTATTTAATTTTTCTATTTCTTTATCCCCCTTATATAAACTATTGCTACTATGAGGTTCTTCAATTTCTTGAATTTTCAATAAACTATTTTCATTCATTTTTCCTAAATTTGTAGGATTACTAAATGATCGTCTACTATGTTCTCTTAAAAATTCTTTTTGAATTCTATCATTTTTAATAATAGTACTGGTTTCATTGAATAATTTTTCTGTATATATTCTTTCTTGATTTTGGTAATTCATACTTAAACTACTATTACTTAATGCATAGGCTATTCTATAACAAACAACCATAGGTATATCTCCTGATTCCATTAATGTTTTTTCTTGAAAATTACATATTATTCCTATACAGTTATTAATTTTCTTGGTTGATAATGGTATAGGAAATTGTAATGATATATTAAATTTAGTTACTCCATACCCTAAATCTCCTTCTATTTCTCCTAACTTTCTTGATTCTTTATGCATAATTCTATTATCTTCAACTCTTATATTTACGGGTGTTTTTATTCCTTCTCTAAATGTTGATCGTAATACTATTTGTACCGTGTTTATATGTATATAACTTATCCTTTTCCTATCTCCTTCCTTTATTTTTTCTAATCTTTTTTCTATTTGATTTATTTCAACTAAAGGTGCTTGAAAATTATAATTTGCTTGTTCTATTCTAATCGGTTGTTCTCCATTCATTATTCCGTAATGTATTATATTTTTCCTATTTAGTTTTTCTAGTATACTATTATTTATTCCTTCTTTCTTTTCTAAATCTAAATTTCCTTTATTCTTTACTTTTGTTACTACTTTTTTATCTAATAATATATCTGATAGATAAATTCCTTTTTCTTCTATATTTTCTATAACATGATATTCGTTTTCCATTTTATATCTTTAATTATCTTATATTTAGAATTCTTAGCCTTATTTGAACACTTAGAATGGATGCTTGATATTCGGCTTTCTTTACTAATTCTTTAATCATGGTATTTGAAGAGGTGATATCATCACATATTCGAAAATAAACTTCATCTTCTACTGGACATTCTTTATGTATGTAAACTTTAACTAGATCGAATAACATTCGTTCATTTTCTTTTAACATTTTTGTTAATAAAACAATTTGTTCGATTAATGATTTTAGGCAATTTATATCTCTATGTATTTCTTTATATGACATATTCCAAAAATCATTTATTTCCATGCAGAATTAGGGAATTAATAACAATAGATGTAAGAATACTTGTTATGAGGGTTACCTGATTCCGCCTGTTCTCAACACAATTCTGGACTTAATGGCCTTGACGCCTAACAGCTTTGGCCTTTTCTCAGAACTTTCAGTGCTCCAGAGAGACTATCGCTTAATCAATTAACACCTTCAATCTTTCTTCTTATATTTTCTAAATATTTAGGAACTCATTATATATGAAAGCATAAATTCTTGTAAAAGGAAGAATGTTATATGAAAGGATTTTATTTTCAATTGTTCCCCCCTTAAATGAAGTTTGAGGCACTTATTTATAGGCGAGAGATACAACTCTGCCCCTTTACATTATGGCCGACAACTTTACATTATAGGTTCTTTTTGGGTGTGGGTGGTGACTCACCATCCCATTACATAGTGCATAGGATTCTTTTCATTATTATAACAAGACAATTTTCAAAAAGAAGGTGGGATCCTCCATTTTTGTCTACTATCTTGTCCACTATCTGCTCCATTATTCTCCACTATCTTATTGCCTCCTGACGTAAGCGCTTACATCATTCCTGGATGGGTTCAAACTCTCCTTGTGATTCTGGGTTGCATAATTCACAAATGTGATCTTCTGTGAACTCCTTCTGTAGCCTGATGTAGATTTCTTTCTTGATTATTTCTGGAATATCAAATTGTATTTTTATTAGTGTATTCAGATATTTGTTGAGTAACTTGATGTCTATCTCTGCTGGATCTCGTGCTTGCATACTCCAAATGATAATGGACTTTGCTGCATAATTAATTCGTCCCTTGATCTTAATGCCTTTGTTTAAAATTATGACATAATTATTAAGGAACTGAATTAATTCGTCCTCATGTTGTGCTTGTCCGATGTCTGGATAATTTCCATTGCTTATTCCAATTTGATAAAACTGGAGTGCTGGTTGTATTACTTCTTGTGACTTCTCCCCTTCCCCAAAAATTGGTGTGGTGGCGAATATCTTTATGAATCCTTCTTTTTTCCCGAGTACGTGCTTACCGTATTGGGAAATTGCCTTCTTGATGTTGATCGGGAAGTACTGGAACATATTTGCATCCCTGAAATAAATACAACTCAGTAACCCTGATTGGAACATCATATATACTTTCATTGGATCTGCCTCTGGTAGAGCGATTGCTTTTGGTCCAAGATATGAACCATCAACTGGATAAATGCTTGTCTGCTTATCTTCATCTGTGTAATTAACCACAAACTTAAATTCATGGTCAAAAATGTTTTTTGTGAGCTTGGTCATCTCTTCTTTCTGTTGCTTAGACTGTATGCTTCCAATCGTGAGTGGTCTGCTGCTTGGAATCTTGCCTAATATAGGCATTTGCTTCTGTGCTACTATAGCTGGTGATTGAGCTTTTCCTGCATAGCTTGCCTTGAACTGAGCTAGCGCTTCTTTTGCTTCAAACAGGCTAGAAAATTTTTTATGTATGACAGGCTGTCCTGTTATAAACATAGCTGCTTGACTCCATTGGGAAAATATCCCTTGATTAGGACCTGTAAATATTACATAATGGGTTTTTGTTCTTTCTTCCTCATCAAAATGAGGTTTTTCTTTTTCTTCCGATGTTTCAGCCTTTTCATTTTTCTTTTCTTCTTTGCCTTTTTCTTCAAACAGTATGGATTTTATTTGGCTGATTTCTTTTTCTTTTTTCTTTATCTGCTCAGAGAGCTCTTCTACCTCTTTTTCCAACTTTCTTAGACTATCTTCTAAGACTGGTTTGAGTGCTTCCATTCCCGTGTTAATGTATCTGCTAAGTAATTTTCTTTTCCTGAAATATATACAGATATATAATCAAACTGTTGTGCTTTTAAGCTCCATCTTAAAAGTCTGCCTTTGTTATAAGATTCTTTTATTCGATATTTTGTAAAATCTTTTGTATACAAACTGTCTGTTTGAAAAATAAATTTGACTGGTTGTAAATCAAGTTTAAATTTTTCCAAAGCATTTATAAAAGCCAATGTTTCTTTTTCATGTGTTGTATAGTTACGTTCTGCTTGCTTAAACGTTCCTGATACCCATTTGGATAACAGTAATTGCTTGTTATTGGTTTTGTCCAATACTAATTGCATAGAATCATTAGATTCACTCTTTTCATCCAAACTATCTTTAGTTATCCTTCGTATAAAGGATTTAACTTCAGATGGTTTGTTGTTCATGATAAACTTATTAAACTCTTCATATGCATCTGGAATTGCTTGAAGAACTGCTCCCCAAGTATCCTGACTTGCATCAGTATTTAAAATAAGTAAATCACTAGGCTTTGGTAGATAAAGCCGTGGTAAATGAGTACATAGCCTTTTTAAAGACTGTACTGCTCTAGTTGCATTGTCTGTCCATTTCCATGGTATTTTTTCTGAAATTATTTTTTGTAGTATCTCTCTTTCTCTAGAAAGACTTTTTATAAAACCTTTTTCTCCAATATATGTTAAACATCCAAGAAATTTTTGAATTTGATTTCTATTTTGAAGTTGATCTGGAAACTGATGTATTTTTTCAAGTAGATGTTTTTGAGGTTCGATATAGCCTCCTTCGACTATTTTCATTCCCAAAAATTCTGTTTCTGTTTTGCAAATTTTTGCTTTTTCTTTACTTAAAATAACTCATTTATTTCCTAATTGTATTAAAACCTTTGCAAGTTCTTTTAAATGATTTTCTTTTGATCCTTGTGTAAAAACAATTATGTCATCTATATAAGCAAGACTTACTGATTCTAATCCCTTTAGATTACTATCCATAAATCGTTGATATATACTGGGTGCTTGTTTAAGTCCAAATGGCATTACATTGTATTCATAGTGGTTTTGAGGTGGACAACTAAATGCTGTTAAAGGTTTAGTTTCTTCATGTAATCTTAACTGCCAATATCCTGATTTAGCATCTAAGGTACTATACCATTTTGCCTTTTTAATTCGACTAAAAATATAATCTTGTCTTGGTAACTTATATGCATCTCCTTTAGTAGCTTTATTCATTTCTTTGTAATTTATAACCATTCTACGTTTTCCTCTTTTTAACTCATTATGATTTTCTACATAAAATGCTGGTGCACTATGTGGGCTTGTACTAGGTTGTATAATACCATTTTCTAACATCTTAGTAGTTTCTTCTTGAAATTCCTTAACATCTCTTTCTGTATATGGTATTCTATTTGGCACATTGACTTCTTTGCTTGGATCTATTAATTCGATTTTTACTGTCATGCTATTTGTGTTTTTACTTGGATCTAATGGATTTTGACTACATATGTTTTCTAATAACTGATCAACATGTTCTTCTAATGTTGTACTTATTACTTTATAAATTGGAAGTGATACTTTTCTTAATATCTCCCCCCGTATGAAAGAAGATGTGTTATATATTTTTGTAGTAATTATTTTACTAGATTGTGTATCTAGTTGTGGACATCTAAGACTTATACTATTTAGTCTTTGAATAAATGGGCTATATAACTTAAGGAAGTTATTTCCTATTATAAATGGTAAACCTGTATTTTGCTTATAAAGACTTGGTAAAGGAAATCTTTTTCCTTCTATTAACAACACTAAATCTGTTGCTCTATAATCAATACTTATTGTCTTATTATTTGCAATTCTTACTATAATCGGTTTTTCTAATTTCTTCCAATATTTAATAGGTAATATAGATTCTTTAGCTAGACATATTGTTGCACCTGTGTCTATATATGCTAACAGAAATTTGTTAAATAATTTAACTTTTATAAATGAACTATTTTTACTCATCTTCTGATTCAGATGATTCCAAATCACTATCTGTTTCTGATTCTAAATCATATACATCGAAGTCTAATAGTTCACCTTCTTCGTATTTTTCTTCTATAGGTTCATAACCTAAAGAAAATATCATTTTTAATTTTCTTTCTTTTTCTGGTATGTTTTTAGGACATTCGTTTGCATAATGTCCTATTTCTTGACATTTCCAACATCTGCAATTCTTTTTCCCTTTAGGACAATATTTGGGTTTTCCTAAATATTTTTCTTGTTTTCTAAATTTTCCTTTGTATTTTGGTTTCCATGGTTTTCTAAATGTTTTATATCTTCTTGGCCTATATCGTCTGTTAAACTTATTGTATTTATAATATCTTTTCTTTCTATATGGTTCATGACAACCAAATTCTTGTGGCACACTTTCTAATTGTTTACAACATCTTGAATCGACTTTAGTCATTTCATGATGTTCTATTTTTCTTATACAAAGTTCATCTCTATATTCTTTTGCATATTTTTCTAAAATTCCTAAAGTTTTTTCTTCTCTTGTTTCATTAATCTTCTTCTGAATATATTTATTCATTTCATATTTAAGGTTACTTTCAACAATTTCTATTAATCCTGATCGATCCTTAATTTTATAAAAATTTTCTCTTACTTGACAGAAGAAATTTTCGATATAACATATATTACATAACTTCATGTTAGTTAGAAATCTAACTACCTTATCTTTTTTAGTTTCTTTTGACTCTTGTCCTGTAATTCCTAAAAATTCCCTTAATAGATTTTTTGCTAATTCTCTTAAAGCTGTTATTTTATATTCTGCTCCTGTTTCCGAACCACTGGCTTCGAGATTAAGTAGGATTTGAGTATTTTCTAGATAGTCAAATAATATTCCTGATGTTTTATACCTTATATAATTGGAAAAATCTATTAATGTCATTCCATTTATCATTGAATCATTAGTTTGGACTAGTAATTTTAATTGATTAGTCCAAGTGACTATTAAATCTTCTGCATTAGTTGCACAATCTATATTTAGTATTCCATTAGATAGATTTCTTTCTTTTTCTAAATATGCTGGTGGTATATTTTTCTTAATTTTTTCTTGATGATAACTATAATCATTTCTGTATATAAAATCTCTAAAACTGCTTTCTACGTAATTATTTTGTGAACTAGATGCTTCATTATTGTTTGTTCTAGGCCGCTTTGGTGATAATGATGGTGTTGTATGAGGTTTTTGATCAGTCATATTAAATGTTGGTTCGTCTTCATCTTCACTATCTATTCCGTAGATTATTCCTTGTTTATCCTCATCATCTATTTTTGCCATTCTAGTTTCTTCAATATTGCATTTTTCTAATAATTGGGTTAATCTATCTATATCATCCATTAGAACTTGTTGGTGGTTCTATTTGAATTGGTTTAAATAACTTTTTCCGCGTTTTTTCTTTTTGTACTAAATCTTGTAGTTCTTTTATTGATTCTTTTATTTCCTCTAATTTTTCTAATGTTTCTAATTGTGTTTTCTTTATTATTTCTATAAGTGTTCCTATTTGTTCTGAAACTCTTGGTGGTTCACACATAATTTTTTCTAAGATATTATTATTATTATTTATTTATTTATTTGCCTTTTAATAGTATTTTTAACTAAGTTTTTATTTTAATTTTTCCTATAGCAAATTTGAGTGTGGAACTAGCAATAAAATTGCCACATGTCTATACCTTATTGGCTTTTAGAGAAAATGGGCACCACCCGTGCGGGTGGCATGAACTAATCCTACATCTAGAAAGCCTTCTAAACGTTCTCCATGCCACGTAAGAATTTTTTGTGTCATGTGATAATAAAATAAAACAATGGCAAAACCATTGGAGATGCTCTAACCATTAAGTTCAAGTACATGCGGATTTTCATTATAAATTAATTGCAAAACAAATCACTACTATTTTTAAATGTATATTCAACCCCACATTTTTTAAATTTGCACATAAATACATGAAAGTTCTAATTTTGCAATTCAATGCATAACTCCTAAATCCAGGCTAATTTAGCTTATGTAGACTCAACATTTCTGGCTAAGTATGTCAACTTCAAAAAAATGATATTATGCTATACACACTCACAAAAGAATGTTGGAATACACAATTTTATTGAAACTTTGGGTATGATTCGAGGTTCTCGTATTCTAACGCTAGATATAAAATCCTGATATTTTTTCGATTAGAATCTATGTGTTTTTTCCAGTTTACTCAACTTGCGCACAAGACTCGCCACAATAAAGCTCTCAGAACCATTTACGTACACGTCCGACGAAAAAACTTGGCCATTTCATCAAATTCTTTCCAAATTACTTCAAAATTTCATAAGGGCAGTTCTGATCACATTGCCAAATGGCCTAACTTGATCGATGAAACTGAAGTAAAGTTTAGACTACATTAAACTTAACAGCTCTAACAATCATTAAAAAGAACATCATACTCTGAAGATCAGTTACAAACAGTGCCAAGATTTTACCTTTGTCCTAAACGATAGCAACAAAACTGTCTCCCGATGTGAGTTTAGAAACATCTTCAATTATGCCTTTTCCAGATTTCTGTTTAGATATATCTTCGATTATGCCTTTTCCATCCATGGCGTCAAAGAAGAAGAAATTCTTCAGAGGATCTCCTTTCCCTGATATTGCCTTGATAACTTCCTAAAAATGAGGATATTATTATTAAGTCGGCACCAAAATTATCACCAACGTTTAATCAAATAATCTAGACTAACAACTTGTTCGATATGAAAAGATTAATGGTAACACAATTTGTTCACCTGTCCGAGTATTCCCCCAACAACAGCACAAACAGGTGGAAATTCTCTTCTACCTTCTAACAATCTCTCGAGTAGGGAATCCGGGATTTGAGATTCATCCACAGACTGCATAAGTTATATATGTATAATTAAGTAATGAAAAACATGTCAGGCATGTACCTGGACAAAACCTTAATATAATTTACATGGGCTTTACATTTGCCTCACAAAGTTCCTTCCTCAGCTTTTGAATGTTCGGCAAATCCAAGGCAGAAGTTTCCCCAGGACTGCGGTTTTCAAGTTCCTCATACCTCTCTATCACTGAGGAAAACAGTGTATGTTTAGAAAATGAGTATTTTAGGATTAACGTTAAAACAGAATGAACAAAATTAAGCTACAGTATAGCACAAATCATTAACCTAAATTTTATTTGACTTCACTGTTCTAAGATTGTATACATAATTAATCAGAGAACTCATCTGCATACTGGGATTAATCAAAATACAAGTTGCTCTTGCAGTCTTCTCAGGAAATATATAACTATTATAAACTATATGACGAATAAATAGTACTTGAACAGACAACAATAGAATCTGTACTCTGCACAAGAGCCAACCAGATCCAATATAACCATAACCTCATTAAAGTATAAACAAGCAACTAACAATCCTTTTCAAGATGTCCCAAAGCGCAACTGACCATGAAGATTTGCACAGCAAGCCAGAAAAGATAGTTCTTCTAACGAAAAATGTAACGTTTAACAAAATAATAATGAAAAAAAAGGAGGAAATAAATGGAAAAAAAATTAAAATTACAAATGTACCTCTCATGGCCAAGTACAACTTAGACACCCTCCTAGGAAGAGACTTCCAGGGGACTGAAATAGCTTCCTGTGCATATATATATTAAAAAAACTGTTAGAATTGCTGAAGAACTTCACGTGCAAGGCTTTAAAAGAAAACCTATCCTTTTACGACTGCTCCAGCCTCCAGAAACACTAAAAATAAATGGAATAATTAGACTAGTCTTCCTGCCTGAGGGTTTCTATCAATAATCATATAGGAGATAAAGGTTAAACAATCTGAAAAGGAGCTATCTGCCTGAGGTTTTCCATCGTTTTATTCTCATAAGCTTAGTCTTCTCTGATGATTCCTATTCCAAATAATTCTTGTGTTGTTAGATTATACTTCCTAGATATTTTACAAACAAAGTAGAATAATAATATCCAGATGCAGTTGTAATTCAAGGGTCGAACCACACTTAAATAGTGAATTGGTTTTGCAGAAAAATGTCGTTTATTGTCCTAAAACAAAAATTCAGGTCTCATCTTTATTTCAAGAACAATAGTTTAGGAAGGTAAAATCTTTATCTATGTCTATGTAATAGCAGAAGTCATTGTTGCTACTTTTGACTATAGTTTTCCCACCCAAATATTTGAGCTATATGACTGTCAGAAGCCTTAACAAAATACTATAGAACTATCTGACTGCTCTCACAAAGTTCTTATGGGGGTGCTTTCAGGAAAATCCATTGTCTCCCAGTAATGAATCGATTTCACAGCACAACAATCAATCAACAAGTTGTGTGTAGACCAATCTATCCTAAATGTCAAACCGAAAAGCTCAAGAGACTCATTTACATAGAGCACTACATGTGCAGTGATACACACACAGAGCATTTGTCCGTAATGTACTAATTTGAACTATCAAATGATTAAGTTCTTCTATTCACAAAAACAAATGCAGGACCATCTTACGATAAGACACAGATTATTGTTGATCAGAAAGGAATAGTTTTGAGACAAATAAAAATATTAAATTTGATCATAAAGTATTAAGTACTACTAAAAAAAGTATCACATATATGCCTAAGTATTCAATTTGAACACCAGTTTATCTTTATCACATCAACCTCGATGTTGCACAGGAGGCCTTCTGTTGGATATTAGAAACCGATAGCGAGTCACAATCAACGGAAGTGAAATCTTGCAGTATAGGCACAGTGCTTGGCTGTGCCTATCGATATATACTTAACAAGCTTTCAAGCCAACCAACATTGAAGACATTATCCATCAATGTTTAGAACAGTCTGGTATGTCTTACTAAATCTAAGTACGTTCAATAATGAAAATTCACTTATTTATGGCCAATATCAATTAACTTAATCAGTTACCCACCGTAGGATACAAGGTTGCTGCAACATAATTATTGAAGTATTCCTTTATTCATGCAGTAGTAACTCATAAAATGAAAGTGAAAAGTCATTTGAAAAGGAACAAATGCAAATGTCTTTTCATCTGAGAATCACTGAGCCACGTCAACAATCAATACAACATGTCATTAACAGATGTCATCTGATAAAGAAAAAGAAAAAAGAAAACAAAATACCAGCTTCTGCAATATAATGAATAGAAAATTTAATGGTGTCGGAGTTGTTATCTCATACCTCGAAACTAGGATACTGAAGAAGGCACTCAGCCTTTTTATCACCCTTTTTCTGTCAGCACAGGAGAAGAAAAGAATTAGACGCAGTTCAGACAGAACATTCAATCCTAAAGTACATATGGTGAAAGACATACATAAAACAAGCACATAAACTAAAACTAATGCTCCTCCAATCATTACATCAGTATGCACAAAAAGTTTCACCGACAGAAATTCAATTGAGAGGGAAAAAAATTAAGAGGATTGCACAAACTATAACAGAACACGTCCACAAACATGTAACAACTATTGCATACAATATAAAAATTAGAATAAAAAATGTTTACCTTGGAGTAGACGTAGTTCTGTAAGTCAACAAATATTTCACCACAAGAGTCTCTACAATCCACAGTATAAAATGCAATACGCTTCGACAGTTTGCGACATTTCTCATTAACTGATTGCTGCAACGGTTACATTAGAACAGTTACATAAATAGAATTGATTTAATAGTTAAACATTTATAAGCCAAGCGTTGGGAGAAAAAAAAAAATAAAAAAAAAAAAGAATCTTGTTTGGCACTAGGAGTCTAGGATGAGAAGATAGATATACTTTTACTGAAAGTGAGCAAGAACTGATGACTACAACATCGAACTTGTCAAAGATATCAACGCTAAAGCTGGACAAGTCACCTGCACATATCAAGTAACCTTTCATGATCAGTGGCTTATCAAGATAAAGAAAAAAAGTCATTTTATATAAAAAGATGTTAAACAGAAGTTGCAAACATCACTGACACATACCTTGAGAGTTGAGTCACATTTAGAGTGAATTGAAAACATGAACATTATGCATTCTGAATTAACAATGTCATGACTTATAATTCCAAATAAAAGAATTCAATCATGTAAAGGATGCATATATATTAAAAAAGCCAAAACTTTTGCTTACCCTTTTACCCTTAAACTACAAGCCAACCCTCTAAGAAGTACTTAGTCACATAATAATATCAGGCTTATGCACTTACATCAAGCTATATAGTTAGGAACACTGAAACCCAGAATCCCCATTACAGAACCACTAAAATCTATCAATCACTCACTGCATTCACAAGCAAGGAACATGTGTAAACGAAAGGAAAACGGGCCACCTTTCACAACCGAAACTTGAACCATTGGGTTGAAATCTTTCAAAGAATCACAACAGAGCTCCGCAAGAGACTTCCCCGCATACCCATTTTCGTCAGGAGGAATCAAAAAGTTGGATGACAGTAAGTCATCGGACACCATCCGGTCATCGTTCAATGTTAAACTACCAACTCCTGCCAGCACAACATTCTTGCAAAACTGACGAATACCAGAATAATACATTCAGTAAGGCGCAGTTATTTAACTCAACTACGACTTCAGCACTCAACAGACAAAGGTAGGAAGATTATACACGTATAAAAAAGAGAAAACACCTCGATCACAGTGCCTTTTAGTCCACTGACGAGAATACGAGACTTGCTTAGCCTAAAAAATCAAGGAACAGATGCAAAAGACTCATTCATAAAACAAACACGAATGCTTATACATAAATATATAGTAAGAAGCGAGTGGTTTTGGAAACCTTCTTTGAGCATCGGCGCCCCAAACTCGAATTTGGCGATCATAGAGAGCAGTTTCGTGCTCCGTCAACTCCTCGCCGTCCATGTCCAACTGCAGGCAAGATTACCCAACAAGATTCTTGCTTAGACAGAGAGAGAGATGACAAATCAAAAACCCTAAGCTTGAGCTTGACTTGCTTGGACTAGAATTTGAAGGTACGAGTGAGGCTGCTATGCGAATAACACTACCAAGTGCTAACTAACGTCCGTAAACTAAAGACATTTATTTACCATGTTGTAAAAAAATTATTTACCTTTTATTTATTAATATACGCTAGTACAATTAGTCAGTGCAAATGCACGAGAGCTACGAAAAAATTAAAAAAGAAAACAATTGCTACGCATACGACTACATAACAATTAAAAAATATTGAACACTTCCTTATATATAATGTTTTCATCGTTAAACTTTTTTCAACATCACAATTTTATATTTTCAATAATTTTCTATTTGTGACTCGTGAAACAACGACATAAAGCTGATCATGCGTAAATATAAGGTTCTTCAAGTTATGTTATGTTTGGTAGACAAATAAGCTAGCTTATAGCTTATTTGGTTAACTTATAAGCTTCTTGTATTCAATTCAAGTAAGCCTTGTTTGGTAGGACAAACTTTTATAAAAAGCTCGAACTTATTTGATAAGCTTCTTTAGTTAGCTTTTCAAATAATCTAGTTGAATTTTTTTATTCCAGCTAGCTTATCAGCTAATATTACCAAACACTTTAATCATATAAGCAAACTTTTCAGCTATTTTCATTTATTCATTCTTCTTTTCTTAGAAACGGAAATAATTAGGTTGATAAACTATAAGTTAGTTTATCAGCTATCACCTAGCTCATTAGCTAGTTTTATCAAATATAGCCATAATTCAATATGAGAAAGAGATTGTCTCTGACTTTTGTTTATCGTCATCGCATAAAAAACGATCAAAGAAAATTATCGTCTTTGGAACTTCAAAGGTATTCTTGCATCTAATGATGTTAAACTCACTCGTTCTAGGTATAATAACCAATTCTCTGTTGTTCGATTAAAACTCTACACTACAACACATGACTACCTAGCCTCATTATAACTAAACACGTACCATTGCACAATCCAGTTGAGTGATCAATGTTCCTCATCAACACTATTGGAGTGTCGACCTTCAAATGTAGATCGTGATTCGGAACACCAAAACATTTAATACTGTTTAAGAATTCAGATGTCTGCAGTACATGTAAAAAAGTAACACCACCATCTGACTTCAATGTTGTGTCGGAACTCAAAACATTTTTTTCATTTGTCGTATTTAAGGAAGTTATATACTCGTTTATAAATTCAACAACTTCAAGTGTTGGGGCCAGTATTGCTCGATCCTTCAAAGAGCTAGGATCTTCAACAATACCTTTAAACATTGGGTACGTATATGAACAATCGTCAAAATCGGATCGCCATCTCATTAAGCAAAATATCATAAGGTATATCTACGTTAGCACAACCGTCAATTGATTCTCTAATGGTCTTATCTCCAATGCTTCCAATCCATTTAGAGAAAGTAAGCATATCGTTATTTTCGTCAGGATCAACAACATCATGTAGACGCATGTTCTTCGTCAGTTTTAAAACCTTCATGTGTGACCAAAGGGAAGAAGAGTTTATTGTAGCATTGTCAATGTCATGTCTTATTCCTTAATGTCATGTCTTATTCCTTTAGGCACTACAGACAAGATCTGTAAAAAAATTTCCACCAAAAACAACAGTTTTACCACTAAAAGACTTTATAACATTAGATGGATCACTGACTTGCATAATCGACTTTCAAGTTCTATCGATAACCATAAAGCAGAACTTATTTACCATTGGTGCCTCGTCCCGTATGATAATGTAGTACGAGCAATCAATTTAGCTAAATAGCTCGATTTAATTATGTTGAAAGTAGAAGTTTCTTTCCGGTTAAGTGGAAATGCAAATCTAGAATGAGTAGTCCTCCCTCCAGGCAATAGAATAGAAGTTATACCATTGATTCCACATTTAGAAAAATTTCTACTCTACCCCTTAAACATGCAGATAATGCACGCCATAAGAATGTTTTTTCAATACCACCTTATCCATATATAAAGAATGGCCTCCTTCCTTAGAATTTACTGTGTCCATAATAGTAGAGTAAACATTTTATTGTTCTGAATTCATAGTGAACAACATTTTGGAGTGTTCAACAAATAAACTATTGCGATCATAGTTTAGTTCATCAAGTAAGAATTTGTTGTTGAAAGACATGCCGTCAACATTCTGGATATGGCATGCAATCGAAGTCACGTAAGCTCCTTCCACGACTCGGCATTAGCTTCTCAATTCATCAATTGTGAGATTTTTTATGTCGGTCTCACTCAAAACCACGTCTTTAAGAAAAATATTAAAATATAATTACATTAAGATGCACAATTTTTCTTTTAATTTATAATTTTATTAATAATATGTGAACAGTTAATTAAACTATTAATATTAATATATACTATAAAAATTATAATCTAAAATAAATAAAATGTAAGTTTTAGTACCTGGCATCAATATATTCATTGTCATCATTGAAAAGACCAAGAATGTAGCAAACATCTCTGTAGGATGAGTGTTGAACGCCCTTCGATTTTCTACAATCAGCAGAGCAGGTTTTCCCTCCATGAACATTTAGAATACACCTTAGATTCTATGAATTACTAGTTGTTGGAGAAACAATATGAAACCTTTCAAGTTTGAAACCATTTTTCCTTGGCGTCCACATTCCAAACAAAATTTTATGGAGCCTCAGCATAAGTTAGCTCTTGTTCTTTTAGATATTTCTTATTTGCCACCATCCAAGCAAGAAATTAAGATTCAATTGTAGTTGCCTCGTTAATACATCTTCAAGATTATTTGTGTCTTTGTAAATAAGATTATGCTCATCTTTCAAATAAAAACTTAATCGCTCGAGGGGAGGGTATTTGTACTATATTTCATATCTGATACAGGATAATATACTAGACCGGGTTTAATGAATACAAATTAGAAGATAAGCCCACATACGGACTAAGACATATAGCATCGCAATATGGGCCAAGCCCAACTTGAGCCCAAAAGGTACACTCCCCCTATAAAATGGGCTAAGGTATCTCTTCCTCTCATTCTCTCCTCATTTCATGACTCTCTCTCTCTCTTTATCATTTTTTCTCTCTTACGAGCACTGACTTAAGCATCGGAGACCCGACGCCGGGGCCACCCCCGACGTTGGG